AAGACCCTTCGCCCGCTCCCCTGGCTCCGCCAATGCATACGACTATCCTAAGTCCACCTAAGCATCCTTTCCTTGCCTTCAAGTGGTCAGCAAATTGAGGAAATACAATAACAAAAACAGACTTACTTTGCTAATGTGAAATCGCTGAATAAATGATCGGTGGTCAGTACACCAAAACCATCGCCTAGCAGTATGTGCAACGAACGAAGTTTCGGCAGTAGCAAAATTGGCTCATGCATTTCGATGTGATGCAAAACTACAACAACAACATCATCAAATTTCTTCACGTGAAAATAAAGCTAAAAATACACGGATAGTATAGACCCTCACATCAACAAACTTCCAGCTTGCCTTAAAATCTCACTAGTGAGCAAGGGGGAGCGAAAGAAAGGGAACTGGAGTGCCACAAGATCGCATTTCGAAAACTATAAATTTGGAGCTTGTTCTTGTCCATTTACAAACCATAAGGTAGACGGGAGCTAGGAGGGGACATCCTCTTAAAACTACAGTCTTCTAGCTTTTCAGGTTCTCAAGCCAGCAACTTATCCGAGAAAAACTTTGGTGGGCCTTTCGTCCCTCCCTTCCTCCACCTTCTCCACTTCCCCAGTCGCACAGGCATCATCGGTGCTTGGGGCGCATATAGATTTCTAGGATTGTGATATTTTGTTGTTGTAATTTTGTATGGTTTAATAACCCAAATTTGAGGTTACTGTAAAGAGTTGCATTGTTACTGTGCGCACACAAAACGGCAGCCTCTGCTGCAGAGAAGTGATTGGTATTTGAAGAAAAAGAAAGAAAACTGATTAGATTCTCCATTGTTGTAGTAGTCTAAATCCCTTTTTACAGGAAAACGAAAAGCATCACTAACAGTTTTAGAAGTAATCTGCAGAAACTTCAGATCATCGGGAAAACTTTTACCGCCCTCCTCTCCCTCACCCCGTCCTCCCCGCCCTGCCTTCCAGGAGTCCGTCCTGGATCCACCTATGCTACAGACCCATAGCCAAGATGGTAAAAAATTTATAACAAAGTAAAACTACTTAAAATTCGTCAAAAACTTCCAACTTCCACAGTTTTAAACGAAAACTAAATTAATGAACGAGTATATTCTGCTCAAATATAACACAAACCTGCGCAGAAGGTTGCCGCGGAAATAGTTAACGTTGTGATGTGCGGGAAAATTTTTCGAATAATAATTTCCAGCTGCCTTGCAAGAACCTGAACAAACACAGGAATGAATAAAGTCACAATCGGAGTGGAACAAAAAGTCGGGAGAAAGACAAAAAAGCCAAACAAGAAAATAATAATTGGTTAACGCACGGGCTGCCCAAGCGAAGATGCGTTTTTTGCATAGTTCCCTGCAGTATCGCCACCGGCAACGGTTTTTCCGGCAAATGCTTCTAGCTAAACAAATTAAAACTGGCCGCCAGAACTGTCAGAAAAAAACACCCCTTAAAATTTCAGCTTTCTAGCTTTCCTGGCTCCTGAGTTAGTAACTTACCTGAAAAAAACTTACACGGGCCCGTACGTAGGTACCACGCATACCCGGTGTCTGGTTTTGAGCTCATTAATACTTACCTGGATGGGGAAAATTCCTTTAAAATTTCAGTCTTCAAGCTTCTCAGATTTCCGAGTTAGTAAATTGCCCGAAAAAAAAACCTTCACAGACTCCTACGTGGATACCACGTGTACTCAAAGGCTGGGTTTGAGCTCATTAATACCTATTTGGACTGGGGACGTCCCCTAAAATTTTAGCTTCCCGTACGTGGTATTCACGCGGATAAGACCGCCCATTTTGGGGATTGAGGTCCATACGTGCATGTAGATTAAGTCCCCAAAGTTTCAGCCCTGTAGCTTTTGTAAGTCTTGAGATGAAAAATCGGTAAAGACGCACACACAGACACACACACATACATACACAGACGCATAGAAAACTCCTCGTCAACATGCGATTTCTGCATTGCATGGATGCAAAAAACGCATAAAAATTAAAAAAAAAAGAAAATGAAAAGCAAGGTGCTTCGAATAATTTAGTTATTGAATGTCCATGCTCAAAAAATTTGTGTTTTTTTTTTCATATGCTATCAAGGAGGATTTCAAAAATTTTCCAAACAGGAAGTCAGGATTTTTGTTGGCCAGATGTATCTCTGCTCAATATTATTAAGCTTCTAAAGCATTATCAAAACCTCCCCCGTATTCGTTTTCTGTGAGAAGTAAAAGCAAGTACTGACAACTACAAAAATTCGCTGTCAAGGCTCCGTTTTACAAGGGTTGCTTAAAATCAAACCGATGGCGGGATATAACTTCCCCTTATGCGTCAGTACCAATTTACCATCGAAACAAATGAATCGTAAAAGATCGGTTGTATTGGTGAACAAAACTTTCAAAAAAATAATGAAAAGTAGTAGAGTAGAAAGATTCGACTTAAGTGTCATGTACAAAAAGACATTTTACGATGCAGACTGTCTTTCATCCCTTAGCTACAAACACAGACCGGACTACTTTTCACAAAAATAATGAAAATTCAATGATTAACACCTCATTTTTGTTGGCTTGAGGTAAATAAAATTGCTCGAAGAATTGGCGATCTGGTCCATAAACTGTATCCCATACTGTATTTTTGGAATACACTTCTCGTAGCATTCTGCGAAATCCTTTGCTGACCGTTTCCCATCCTGCCAAACATAGCTGTAACAAGCACAAAATTTTATCCAGTAAAGCAATCGGGAGAGAAGATTAAATGGGTCAAATTCGATAATTTATGGGATTTTTTCTAGAAAAAACCCCCAATCTTTGCAATTCATTTTTAAATAAAAATTTGCGGGAAGCTCCAAAAATTATCTCCATCATATTTCACGCCTTTTTGCTAAAAGTGTGGACAACGGGGCGACACTACTTCGTCAACAGGGACCAGGCTAATACCAAAACTTCCCTACTTTCCAAAGCTTAACTAGAAAAAGCTATTTCTGCAACGCCAAAGACTGACAAAAATTTGACAAAAAGCTTTCGATATTGATAAAAAGCAGAAACCTCAACGGGTGGAACGTAGCTGCAGATTTGTTCGACGATCTCG